CTTTTTAAAATCCCGGGTGACTCTGAAATTCTGCCTTATTTTTTTTCCATTGCTATTTTCAAGATGTGATTGAGTCTGTGTTGTGAAAAAAAAAGTACATACGCATACCATCCCGACTACGACTTCAATCTTGTAAATAAAAGTAAAGTATGACCCCCTATGTTTTGACAGTCCGTAATTCAAATGTATATTATGACAATGCGCAATCCTATTTTGACAACAATGGTGACGTCGGACTAGACGTTGCTCATTTGGTCAAACACTGCGAGAAGTAGGCTAGATCTATACTACATGTTAACAATCCCAGATAGAAAAGAGGGGAGGGGTGGGGAGGGCAGAATTGTAAGTTTTGAAGGAAGATACATTTTCTACGTTAAGGACTATACTCTATATTATGTAACCTTTATTTAGCGGATTTTAAATGGTTTACGCCCTCCCGCACAACGCACTTTAGGTCATTTTGCATGTGAGTCAATCAGGCCTGAAAGGGATGGGATGCAGCATTAGCGGAAAGACGATGGCACCACTTTAAATAGCCTTCCCGATGAGGGAATCGAACTTTTGACTAATACTTGTAGCGGCAAATACCTTAACCATTACACCACACACGCTAGTGACTAGTATTTTCTAATATTAGTCTGTGAAGGTTATTAGATCTCTTATTAAGAATTTACGGCACTTGAAACGCAATTGAGTAATACTATGAGTGTCGAAGATTGGAGGGGTAGCTAGAGAGCAGCGTAAGTGTACAAAGAAAATAAGGAGGAGAGATAATAATGATAAATATTTCATAGGAAAAAAGTAGCCAATCTTAACAGAGCGCCTGCCAATCACCTGCACTTTTAAAAGGTATTATAGAAAAGTGACTGCTAAGAAGAGAGTTGTAGCACAATTGATTTTCCGATTCTTGTCTCCCAGAGTATTTGATCGGATTGTTCCTAGACATTTCTGTTGTAAACGTACCTCATGATTATAGAATCTTCCAAAGGTAAGGCTTATCCTTTTAACATTTCCTATGGACCACCACAATCAATAATAATTCTAACAAACGGGTGAACGGGTGAACGTTTGTTCATGTCAAGACGGCTGTTTGGAGAACCATGGTCAAAGGCAGTGTAGTGGAGGTGTGAACAACACATTGTTTGAAGGCTTCAGAGGGCATCTAAACACTACAGGCTTAATTTAACGTCTTCCCGGAAACGAGAAAGACCATTCTTTATTTCTTCAAAAGTAGTGTCAGTGAGATGAAATAATATACTAGAATATTGTATGTTTTAATAGGGGATCTAGGAAAGGGCAATAGGAGAGCAGGCCGAGATTGCAAGAGACAAAAGTCGACAGGATGCATTTACGTATACATGTCAATTTAAATGATAGACGGTATGCTGGGCACAATTATTTAGAAGAAGAATCTGGATGCAAAATGATCATATGATAAAATCGTTATTGATTTGTAATTTAAGCTGTGAATCAGCAATGGATGCGAGATGAAGCCAGACTAAACCATTAAAAGCAAGCAATGTAATGAAACCCTAACGAAATGTATTAAATAGAAAAACTGTACGAAACAAACTACCTCGCAACTGGTTATATTATTCTGCGCATTTACTAAACTTAAGAGGTGGACTTCATAAAATGTTGATTTTTTCCTGAACTTTGTTTGGTCAAAAACAGATATTGAAAAGCTGATTGCAAATGTTTTAGGATAAAATAACAAAAACTAATGCTCTTTTGTCCAACAAATCGACAAGGAAGTAGCAAGAAAACGACAGCAGAAGCCAAGTGAGAAAGTTCGAAGAAAAATGATTTAAAAAGCATGGTGAGTCATCAACAAACTCTCTGCATCAACTGTGTGTAAGCCGATCACCCCTCTCCCCCCTCCCTTTCTCTCTCTCTCTCTCTCTCTCT